CTCTTTTTTATTTTCAGGATTCTAACAAAACCTAACCTGTCAGCATGTGCTTCATTGACTTCCTGCTGTCAAAAGTAGCATCACCTATCATCGATCTGTCTTACTACCTCTACATCGTGGCATATAGATCAGTCCTTGTTTATTTCGATTTCCTTCTTCAGGCCTACTATTGAAGCCTCCCAGACCATCTCCAGCATTTCGGAATCGTCGGTGAAGACCATTTTTTAATTTCAGGATTCTAACAAAACTCAACCTGACAGCATGTGCTTCATCGACTTCCAGCTGTCAAAAGTAGCATCTCCTATCATCGATCTGTCTTACTACCTCTACACCGTGGCGTATAGATCAGTTCTTGATAATTTCGACTTCCTCCTCCAGGCCTACTATCAAAGCCTCTCAGACCATCTGAAGCATTTCGACATCATCGCTTAAGACTCTTTTGTTATTTCAGGATTCTGAAAAATCTCAACCTGTTTACATGTGCTCCATCGACTTCCAGCTATCAAAAGTAGCATCACCTATTATCGATCTGTCTTACTACCTCTACACTGTGGCGTATAGATCAGTTCTTGATAATTTCGACTTCCTCCTCCAGCCTACTATCGAAGCCTCTCAGACCATCACCAGCATTTAGGAATCGTCGCTGAAGACAATTCTTCATTCTCAGGATTCTAACAAAACTCAACCTGACAGCATGTACTCCATCGACTCCCAGCTGTCAAAAGTAGCATCCCCCATCCTCGATCTGTCTCACTACCTCTACACCGTGGCATATAGATCAGTCCTTGTTTATTTCGATTACCTTCTTCAGGCCTACTATTGAAGCCTCTCAGACCATCCCCAGCATTTCGGAATCGTCGCTGAAGATAATTTTTTATTTTCAGGATTCTAACAAAACTCAACCTGTCAGCATGTGCTTCATCGACTTCCAGCTGTCAAAAGTAGCATCCCCCATCCTCGATCTGTCTTACTACCTCTACACCGTGGCGGATAGATCAGTTCTTGATAATTTCGACTTCCTCCTCCAGGCCTACTATCGAAGCCTCTCAGACCATCTGAAGCATTTCGGCATCATCGCTAAAGACTCTTTTGTTATTTCAGGATTCTGAAAAAACTCAACCTGCCAACATGTGCTTCATCGACTTTCAGCTATCAAAAATAGCATCACCTATTATCGATCTGTCTTACTACCTCTACACTGTGGCGTATAGATCAGTTCTTGATAATTTCGACTTCCTCCTCCAGGCCTACCATCGAAGCCTCTCAGACCATCACCAGCATTTCGGAATCGTCGCTGAAGACAATTTTTCATTCTCAGGATTCTAACAAAACTCAACCTGACAGCATGTACTTCATCGACTCCCAGCTGTCAAAAGTAGCATCCCCCATCCTCGATCTGTCTTACTACCTCTACACCGTGGCATATAATCAGTCCTTGTTAATTTCGATTTCCTTCTCCAGGCCTACTATTGAAGCCTCACAGACCATCTCCAGCATTTCGGAATCATCACTGAAGACAATTTTTCATTTTCAGGATTCTAACAAAACTCAACCTGACAGCATGTGTTTCATCGACTTCCAGCTGTCAAAAGTAGCATCCCCCATACTCGATCTGTCTTACTACCTCTACACCGTGGCGGATAGATCAGTTCTTGATAATTTCGACTTCCTCCTCCAGGCCTACTATCGAAGCCTCTCAGACCATCTAAAGCATTTCGACATCATCGCTAAAGACTCTTTTGTTATTTCAGGATTCTGAAAAAACTCAACCTGTCAACATGTGCTTCATCGACTTTCAGCTATCAAAAGTAGCATCACCTATTATCGATCTGTCTTACTACCTCTACACTGTGGCGTATAGATCGGTTCTTGATAATTTCGACTTCCTCCTCCAGCCTACTATCGAAGCCTCTCAGACCATCACCAGCATTTAGGAATCGTCGCTGAAGACAATTCTTCATTCTCAGGATTCTAACAAAACTCAACCTGACACCATGTACTCCATCGACTCCCAGCTGTCAAAAGTAGCATCCCCCATCCTCGATCTCTCTCACTACCTCTACACCGTGGCATATAATCAGTCCTTGTTAATTTCGATTTCCTTCTCCAGGCCTACTATTGAAGCCTCTCAGACCATCTCCAGCATTTCGGAATCATCACTGAAGACAATTTTTTATTTTCAGGATTCTAACAAAACTCAACCTGTCAGCATGTGCTTCATCGACTTCCAGCTGTCAAAAGTAGCATCCCCCATCCTCGATCTGTCTTACTACCTCTACACCGTGGCGGAAAGATCAGTTCTTGATAATTTCGACTTCCTCCTCCAGGCCTACTATCGGAGCCTCTCAGACCATCTGAAGCATTTCGGCATCATCGCTAAAGACTCTTTTGTTATTTCAGGATTCTGAAAAAACTCAACCTGTCAACATGTGCTTCATCGACTTTTAGCTATCAAGAGTAGCATCACCTATTATCGATCTGTCTTACTACCTCTACACTGTAGCGTATAGATCAGTTCCTGATAGTTTCGACTTCCTCCTCCAGGCCTACTATCGAAGCCTCTCAGACCATCTGAAGCATTTCGGCATCATCGCTAAAGACTCTCTTGTTATTTCAGGATTCTGAAAAAACTCAACCTGTCAACATGTGCTTCATCGACTTTCAGCTATCAAGAGTAGCATCACCTATTATCGATCTGTCTTACTACCTCTACACTGTAGCGTATAGATCAGTTCCTGATAGTTTCGACTTCCTCCTCCAGGCCTACTATCGAAGCCTCTTAGACCATCACCAGCATTTAGGAATCGTCGCTGAAGACAATTCTTCATTCTCAGGATTCTAACAAAACTCAACCTGACAGCATGTACTTCATCGACTCCCAGCTGTCAAAAGTAGCATCCCCCATCCTCGATCTGTCTTACTACCTCTATACGGTGGCATATAGATCAGTCCTTGTTTATTTCGATTTCCTCCTTCAGGCCTACTATTGAAGCCTCTCAGACCACCTCCAGCATTTCGGAAGCATCACTGAAGAACATTTTTTATTTTCAGGATTCTAACAAAACTCAACCTGACACCATGTACTCCATCGACTCCCAGCTGTCAAAAGTAGCATCCCCCATCCTTGATCTGTCTCACTACCTCTACACCGTGGCATATAATCAGTCCTTGTTAATTTCGATTTCCTTCTCCAGGCCTAGTATTGAAGCCTCTCAGACCATCTCCAGCATTTCGGAATCATCACTGAAGACAATTTTTTATTTTCAGGATTCTAACAAAACTCAACCTGTCAGCATGTGCTTCATCGACTTCCAGCTGTCAAAAGTAGCATCCCCCATCCTCGATCTGTCTTACTACCTCTACACCGTGGCGGGAAAATCAGTTCTTGATAATTTCGACTTCCTCCTCCAGGCCTACTATCGAAGCCTCTCAGACCATCTGAAGCATTTCGGCATCATCGCTAAAGACTCTTTTGTTATTTCAGGATTCTGAAAAAACTCAACCTGTCAACATGTGCTTCATCGACTTTCAGCTATCAAAAGTAGCATCACCTATTATCGATCTGTCTTACTACCTCTACACTGTGGCGTATAGATCAGTTCTTGATTATTTCGACTTCCTCCTCCAGGCCTACTATCGAAGCCTCTCAGACCATCACCAGCATTTAGGAATCGTCGCTGAAGACAATTCTTCATTCTCAGGATTCTAACAAAACTCAACCTGACAGCATGTACTTCATCGACTTCCAGCTGTCAAAAGTAGCATCCCCCATCCTCGATCTGTCTTACTACCTCTATACGGTGGCATATAATCAGTCCTTGTTAATTTCGATTTTCTTCTCCAGGCCTACTATTGAAGCCTCTCAGACCATCTCCAGCATTTGGGAATCATCACTGAAGACAATTTCTTATTTTCAGGATTCTAACAAAACTCAACCTGTCAGCATGTGCTTCATCGACTCCCAGCTGTCAAAAGTAGCAGTCCCCATCCTCGATCTGTCTTACTACCTCTACACCGTGGCATATAATCAGTCCTTGTTAATTTCGATTTCCTTCTCCAGGCCTACTATTGTAGCCTCTCAGGCCATCTCCAGCATATGGGAATCATCACTGAAGACAATTTTTTATTTTCAGGATTCTAACAAAACTCAACCTGTCAGCATGTGCTTCATCGACTTCCAGCTGTCAAAAGTAGCATCCCCCATCCTCGATCTGTCTTACTACCTCTACACCGTGGCGGGAAAATCAGTTCTTGATAATTTCGACTTCCTCCTCCAGGCCTACTATCGAAGCCTCTCAGACCATCTGAAGCATTTCGGCATCATCGCTAAAGACTCTTTTGTTATTTCAGGATTCTGAAAAAACTCAACCTGTCAACATGTGCTTCATCGACTTTCAGCTATCAAAAGTAGCATCACCTATTATCGATCTGTCTTACTACCTCTACACTGTGGCGTATAGATCAGTTCTTGATTATTTCGACTTCCTCCTCCAGGCCTACTATCGAAGCCTCTCAGACCATCACCAGCATTTAGGAATCGTCGCTGAAGACAATTCTTCATTCTCAGGATTCTAACAAAACTCAACCTGACAGCATGTACTTCATCGACTTCCAGCTGTCAAAAGTAGCATCCCCCATCCTCGATCTGTCTTACTACCTCTATACGGTGGCATATAATCAGTCCTTGTTAATTTCGATTTTCTTCTCCAGGCCTACTATTGAAGCCTCTCAGGCCATCTCCAGCATTTGGGAATCATCACTGAAGACAATTTTTTATTTTCAGGATTCTAACAAAACTCAACCTGTCAGCATGTGCTTCATCGACTCCCAGCTGTCAAAAGTAGCAGTCCCCATCCTCGATCTGTCTTACTACCTCTACACCGTGGCATATAATCAGTCCTTGTTAATTTCGATTTCCTTCTCCAGGCCTACTATTGAAGCCTCTCAGGCCATCTCCAGCATATGGGAATCATCACTGAAGACAATTTTTTTATTTTCAGGATTCTAACAAAACTCAACCTGTCAGCATGTGCTTCATCGACTTCCAGCTGTCAAAAGTAGCATCCCCCATCCTCGATCTGTCTTACTACCTCTACACCGTGGCGGATAGATCAGTTCTTGATAATTTCGACTTCCTCCTCCAGGCCTACTATCGAAGCCTCTCGGACCATTTGAAGCATTTCGGAATCATCGCTGAAGACATAGTCACGTTCGACGCTCTGAAAAGCCAGTGGAAAACGTACGGAAAATTCGGACTGGCAATGGCGCCCTTCATTATCAAAATCGAATTGTGTCAATCAGATGAGGTTGTTGACTTTGCAGAGTCTGTTGAAAAGGGAGAGTTGAAGGACGCGCTCAATATTCAGATCAAAAACCAGGATGAATTCGAGAGGAGGATAAAAGATGTGATGGAACATTTCGCTGAAGAGTTCCTCTGATGTTACTATACTACTATGTAGTATCTCCATTATACCCATCCATATCATTATTATATCTTAGAGATGGTCAAATGATGTAGATAAAATAATTATTAATAATTGCATACTACAGTGGAGCAATAATATATTCATTTGTAATTATCTAGTTCGATGAATTGCAAGGAGAATAATGTGTACAGGGTGAGCAGAACTCGAGTTCTCAGCTCTATTATAGGAGGAGAGATGAGAGAGGGAATTTGAAAAAAGGTTTTCCAATGGAATTGTGTAAAGTCCGTTTCATGCCTAATTCCCATAATTTTCTGAATTCGTAAGCTGAATTAATGACGTCATCGATTATTTTTTCTCAGAAACATACCTTTATTTTTGCATATTCGGTATAAGCTGATTTTACTGAACAAATTTTGTTGAGAAAAAAAATTGCACTATCGTTCCGTTAGAGAATTTTAAGCAAATCTGTTCAAAAAATTTGCATTCGTCACGATTCAAACAAGTAGTGCTAATGGCACAGTAGCAACTAATAGTTGTCACATTTTGGTGTCATTTGACATATTTTCAAGCGTCAAAACTTGGTGAGTATGGGCTAAAACACAACCAGACAGGCAAAAATATGCTATTTTTTAAGAGGAAAAATTGCACTCGGTTCGATTCAATACGTGTTAACATGAGAAATTGATTCGAAAACTTCCGTGCATACCTACCTGATAACGTGATACATTTATTTAATCTTTCCGACACCAACATTTTGAAAACTAAAAAATTTGGAGGAAATGGGAAACACATAATATATTACCAAAGGAAGAAACAAAGTATGCAGGTAATCACTACCAGAGCTGGGCAGTACTCGAGTACAAGTACTCAAATATTGTACTCTGAGTACATTTTGTGTACTCAGTACCCAGTACCCGAGTACATTTCCAATAAAGTACCCGGTACTCGTACCCGTAGCATTTCGGGAAAAGTACCCGGTACCCGCGTTTATTAAACGAGTACATTTTCTAGGTACTTTTTGCAAGAATAAACTTGTCTCTGCATATGCGAGTGCAACACGGGAAACCGCTGTTATATGTTATATCATCATTATCAGTCAGCACTTCAATCAGAGCCGCGGAGTTTTGTTTTGTACACTGTGTAACAGTTATAGAGTCAGTTATAGAGTCAACTAAACTAAGAGGTATGGGTATAGTATTGCAAGTTGAGTTGTTTTGTTTAATAAATATGGTTACTAATACTGATGCAAAATTTCTTAATTCTCTATTCAAATGTACTTGAAATGAGTACCCGTGAAATTCGGGTACTTGTACTCGAGTTCTTTACTCTGAGTACATCAAATGAGTGGGGTACTCGGTACTCTGTACTCGTTCTTCAATTATAAACAGTACCCGGTACCCGGTACTCGAGTACAATTTATCAGTACCCGGCCCAGCTCTGATCACTACAACAAATTCTCAATGTGACCACTCCCTACTTCTAAACACTTCTCCAATCTCCGCTTCACTTCTCTTACTGAAGCATTGCGTAACATTTCTCTAGAGAGTTCATCGCAAGCATTCCTGACTTCTTTTCTCAGATGATCCAAGTTAACAGATGGTGTTCTGTGAACTTTATTCTCCAAAATTCCCCACGTGAAAAAATCAAGTGAGGTCAACTCCGGTGATTTATACCATTTATACCCATCCAATGTTCTCCATAAGTTTCATTCAAATATTTTTGAACCATTCTTGCTTTATGCAGCGGAGCTCCGTCATGCTGGATCCACATGTTTGCTCGAAGCTGCAATGGCACATTTTCGGGAAGCACAAGAAAATGTTCTTGAAGAAATTGCAAATATTGCTCACTATTTGAAACTCCTTCGTTAAAATATGGAACAATCAAATGCCCGTTGATAATACCACACCAAACGTTAATTACAAAATGTCCTTGGTTTTCAATAGGATTGACGAAATGTGGATTTTCAGTAGCCCAATAACGTTCATTTCTTTCATTGGGCTTACTTTTGCTCGAGTTCTGTTCACCCTGTACACCATGGCCGCCAAACTTTTTAGCGACCTCAAGATTATCTTGTTCTCTTTCGGTTTGCTACAAATAATGTATTTCGGGTCCTAGACATACAAACAACTATCATTATTGTTGAAGGGGTTCATTTGTAAGACATTAAGTACCTATAGTGTTAACGTTTTTCGTCAGATTCCTATATCATCACAATGATTTCCTTTTGAGAACAGATAAATGAATGCAAATACAACTCCGAAGTACGAATGTAACAATAAGAACAATATAAGTCGTCGTATTCAACTAGGAATTTTCGTAACATTCAGAAACTTTAACAAAATTAATATATCATAATGTTAAGCGTTACCCAAGCAAAACATATTTTGACCCGCGGGTCACCGCAGATACAAGTTAGTAAGGTTGTTATTGAGCATGTACTTACTATGAAGTAGTCGCTTATTATTTTTCTCGTTGCACATTAGTAAACCGTGGGTGGTTACAGAATTCGAAAAATTGTAAAAGCGAGTGCTGATTAACACAAGTGAAATTGCTGATTGATAGTTTTCTGTGTTCTTATAGTACACTTTCGGTGAGTTGCATGAGTGCAATATAATTAAGATCAATCGAAAATGTAACAGGCATAGAACTCCAATTCTTCAGAACTGACAAGTATAAATAACGAGTTATAGACACTACGTAGTCCAAAATGAATCTCACTGATTCATTTCCTCTTACTGATTCAGAACAAATAATAATGGTATCGGTCTTAAGTTAGGAAGATTAGCAACTAGGACCATCGGTGTATGTTCCAGTATAAAGTTGTCCATGTTCAGATGAAGAATCATTGTCGCTAAAATGTGCTGTAAATTAACCATAAAGAAAGGTGATTCATGTACCATTCGATTATTCATCTGACGATATGAAGGGTATCATAATAATATATCATCTCTAGTATATATTTCCACAACTTCGTAGTAAGAACGTATAGTATAGTATAGGAGTTAACAACTTTACTAATGAAATCATGTTTGCCTAACATCCTTCACGAAGTAATAAAATTTGCGAATGGAAGAATGCATATAATAGTAAGTTAATTCATGTTAAAAGTGTGTGTTTCAGTTAATTTTAACTCCAGGTACACACAACTCTGTGTCAATCCAGGTACACACCGAATTGTGTCATCATTTTATTGCAACCCAATGGATAATACTGACACAAAATGTCTCAGAAATATGAAAAATGTTCTAGAAATCATGTACACAATTTTGACTGACATTGATCAGAAATTGAATTATATTCCAGCATATTCCGAAAAACTCGCGTTTTTTTTAATTCAACTATTCTACTTGAACCCTAGACCAAAGCAGATTATTATGAGTACTCTCTGTTGATTCTTCCATACGTAGAATATATATTATATAGAAAAAATTCAGCAACATTGGAAGTATTGGATGTAACTGGGTGCATATATATATTTCTTCGTGCTATTTTCATAGGATCTATTCGATGAATAATTCATATGGATTATTTCGGTATTTTCACGTACATATTGTTACATTCAGTTTGTTTTCATTTCGAAGTCTTTGTCATGCAAATTCACTTATTTAAGTCACTGTTATCTCATGATTCTCGATTTCACCTTCACTGGACCATTTCCTATGAATCATCTCAGAACTATGATTCATTGACGCAATAGGGTTAACGAAAGCGTAATATTCAATAACAATATTTTGTATCATATGTATCTCATTCATGAATCTTACTATGTATCTATACAGAGTATGTATATAGAGTACCCCACATAATATGGGCCACCCCCTTATCTGGTAAACTGGATAAAAGAGATACAAAAAAAATTTGAAAATCAAAGATTTTTATGGTCATATGAACTTTCCTTTTTTGATAATGTAAACTTCACAGGATGATCCATATGCCTGTGACATACCAAACATATTTCCGAAAGGAATACCCTGAACTTTATTCAATTCTTGAATAGAGCTCAGAAAGACGAGTTAAATGATATAAATAGATAGATTGATATAGTAGTTCATTTGAGCCAATAATTACCCTCACGTCAAGTCATCTCTACATTTCAGCTCAACAAAGGACACAATAAAATACACAATAAAATACATGATAGAATACAGAATGAATATTTGATAACATGGATCTGAGATCACCTGTTTATGATGACTCACCACCATAAAAAACCGGCAACCAAAAAATATCGCCAAATTGTTCGCCCTGTAACTCTTTCAATTCTTGTCCGATTCTGGTGAAATTTCACCCAAACGTATATGCATGTTTCGAAATATCAGCCTGAATATTAGTTTTCAAGGAGAGCTCATGGTTTGAGCCTCATACAGGGAAAAACAAAAGTAACTGTTTTACCCTTAATTTCGTAACGCCCTGTGGCAAAAGTGAGTGGTTAATCTTAGTTTCATTATGTTTTGATTTGTGTGTCATCCCTTCTTGACACAATGGTTTATTATTCACGTCGATGCCCACTTTTCATGAGGAGATACAAGTGTTTCGAGAGAGCATGAATGTTTTTGATTTATATTAACAATGATTTAGAACCATCCTCCATCCTTCTTCTTCATCAAGTTTGAATTGAAGAATTAAAGTGTAATCTTTCTCCGTCCCTTTTAACACAATGATTCCAGATTCTAGATAGAGAAAGTATATAATTTTTCAATTATTAATAACAATAATTTAGAACCTATAGAGCATCATAGGAATGAACGCCTGAGAATCATTCGCCTTCGCCTGGCCTTATTAGAGACTCTTCAAGAGCTACGATTCGTCCTTCAAGGAGAATTCTAGGCAATTCTTCAATTTGATCAACTTGATGCCACGGCTGTTGAATGCTGTAATTCTAACTCGAGGAAAGCATACGCGTCATCAACTAAAGGTCTGCTTCTTGTCTGTTTTTTTAATTGAGCTTTTTTCCGGTACGTGCTAAGAAAATGTGGTAGACATGAATGGAATGAAATATTCTAGTTGTTAATCAATAAACTTATGTAAGTTCTGATTATGGTTGATAAAAATTCAAAAATGCAATACTTTCTCAAAACACTTGTATGTTCCCTTAAAAATGAGATATTGATGTCAATCAACAACTATTGTGTTGAGAAGGGGTCACACTTCAATCCAAAGCATAATGGAGTCAAGTTCAACCACTCAATTTTACCACAGGGCGTTAAGAAATAAAGGGTGAAATAGTAACTTTGTTTTTTCCCTTCATAATGATCAAGTCTTCAGTTGTTCACGAAAACTAATATTCAGGCAAACATTCCGAAACATGAATTCACGATTTCATCAAAATTTCACAAATTTTATGGTGGCCGGTTTTTTTTCTGTAAGTGTATATGTATATCTATACAGGGTGTATCTGAATAACTCCTGAAAAATTCAAGGGGTGTTTCCTTGTAATACTTTAATTTTTTGATATACAGAGGATGTTGAAGTTGAAAGCATTAATTGTCTTTATTTAAAGCCCCTTTGTAAAAGCCTTCATGGTGCCATGGTCAGTATGGATGGCGACTGAGAAAGTCCCAAAATTCCAAAATGATTCCGATTGCGTTTGTTGAGTAATCTCAATGTCTTGAAAGTCTTGAAAACACCTACATTAAAATTAGGAGTCAAATCGAATTTTCATTGTTTCCTCAAAAACTGAGCCAGATACAAAAATCACACAAAGGATTAGAAATATGTTATTTCAATAGTTCAATCTAATAAAAATATGAAGCACAGAAATTTATAGAAAGGCAATTGAGGAATGAATGAATAGAATATTTTTCATTGAGATATAATGTTTATATGAATTTTATTTGATAAAATATCACAAGGACTCACCCCTTCAATTTTTTCGGTGTTATTTGGATGAACCCTGTATAACAAAAACTGCGCATCGAAAACTTGATCTTAACGTTCCTATAGGGCTTGGACATTCGACTATTTATTGAATAGGATCATGGATGAGTCCGAAATGGGTGAACTCGGACCGATTTCCACATGATATATCATCGAATACGTCATTCTGAGCTTCATCCAAGTACGGGAATTCAGGGTGTTCTGTCTCAATATTCTGTGTATTTATTCTAGTATACTAGATAAGGGGGTGGCTCATATTATGTGGGATAGCCAAAGTAATACTAATATCCTAAACATCATTGACACAACAAATCTATGTATGAGAGATGCCTTATTCTGCATCACGGATATGATTGTTTTCCGGTTGATGAAATATTTCCATTGAAAATATCGATCCAATTCCAGTTGATTATAGATAATGAATAATCGATAACTATTTTTCAGTAAATGTTATTTTGAATAATGTTTTCTCAGAATTAGATTATTTTCGATACATAACAGATATCCTGGGGTATTATTAGCCAGGAAGGTAGGTAGTTGTTCTCTGTCATATATTTCAACAGAGATTTTATATCCCAAAAACAGTATTCCCAACCAATGGGTTATTTGGACGATGGGTTAATGATCTTCAATATGGTCAAATCATATCATCCGAATTGATATCACAGTTCCAATATCGGTTGAATGAGGAAATGAAAAGGAGAAATTACAATAAAATCGAAAGTGCATCACAGTGAAGGAAATAAGACACCTCATTTTGGTAAAACAACTCATATAATATGCTTCCTCACTGACAAGAGTTTTCGTCGATATCGATGACACACAAGCATCGTTGAACCCGTGCCAATTTTTGGACGATGCATATCTGCAGTAGGCCGATTAGATTTTGAAATGGGATATAGATCGTATCGACATGGAACATGGTACAACATCGTCAGAAGCTTATAGTGGCTCATATCCAAGCCGTTCAAAAGATCAACAATAAATCGACGAATAACCCACAATCATATACCTATAATAACAGAACTAAGAAGTTCCTTCAAAGGTTCACATCATCAATTATATATTCCACATTTTCACTGAGAGAGATTTTAAAACATTGTTGATCATAAAAGGATATTGCTTCAATTAATTATGTTTATACCATTTATCATCATAGACATTGAATCCGGTTCATCTGAGCAATGAGTATAGATTGTGAGGAATTGAAAACGAAATGTTAAAACACACCTGACTCCATCTTGTCATAATATATTAGTTATTGTCCAAAGGATTTGTATGTTCGACCTTCTGTTCTGTTCAGATAAGTCCACGCTCTCAGAATCTCACACGCAAAAATATACAGTGCAACTAAAACAAATTCCAGCACGTTTTGAAGATCGACCAAGTTCAGCTATGTCCACCATTTTGTTTGCTGAAAGAATTCAGAGAATATGAAGTTGACCTTCTGCCTTGATCAATCCTCTGTCAAATAAGTTCAAAATCAATAAAATTGTACCATTTATAAAACAGTTATTAATCGAATAAAACAAAATTCAGATTTTTATGGACAACCCTCTTTTATAGTATTTATTCGATAACCTGTTTGGTTTAATATTATACTCTCTTCATTTCCTATAAGTGACATTAAACTTTATAACATTGACATCCCCATCATACTCGAACTTTCATGTATAGGGTGATCTATACATCTCCCCTTTTCACTCTTCCATC